CCCCCCACAGCTCCTATCCTAACCCTAACCCGTACCTCTACCCCCCCACAGCTCCTTCTGTAGTCCCTCTACCTCTATCTCTTTCTCACCACTGACTGATCAGTGTTTCTCCTCTGGATAGCTTATTGTCATAGTGATGAGAAATGGAATATTGTGTCTTATCTCGCTTTGGATAAAAGCGTCTGCCAAATGCATAAACATAAACATAAACACAAACCTTTCTTTCCGTTGTTGGAGGGCGTCGACTTCCCACTGTCGGAGTTCAGCTCAAACACCCTAAGGTCCTGTGGCCCCTCCTCTTTTGAGGGTTCGGGTTGTTTGGCGGCGGGGGGCGGAGCCTCTGGTTGCCTTACAGAATCTGCTGGAGCCTCGTGGTCCAAGTCACTTTTTTGGGGTCTCTGCTCGTCTTTAGTGTCGTGGGCCCCGCCCACATTGGCCCCGCCCACATTGGCCCCGCCCACCGTGACCTCCACCTGCGTGGGCAGGCTCACGCTGTCGCTGCTGACCGAGGGCGTGGCCTCCCGCTCCTCGCCGGGGGAGGGGGCGGGGCTTAGCGGGGAGGGGGCGGGGCTTAGCGCGGAGGAGGCGGAGCTCAGCCGAAACGGCGACGCGGAGCCCAGGAAGTCGTCTGAGAAAAAGCGAAAAGCCAAACGGGTCAAAAGAGTCAGCGGCAGCCTGTGTAATGGTTAGCATAGCATACCATCCTCTGCTAGCAGAAACCTTCAAGATTTTCAAACTGTACAACGCCTCACTGGGGTCGAGGAGGTGACACAGGACAGGGGGAAGAGAGATCACATACACATACACTGTACTTTATTTTTTGTATTTTTATTTATTTATTTGTATATTATTGCTTAAACTGATTCTAACTTGACACTGTTTGCCCTTTAAGCTGCTGGTAACCTTAATTTCCTGAGGGAGTCTTCCCAAGGGATCAATAAAGTACTGTCTAAGTCTAAGTCTAAGTCTAGCTGCCTTCCAAGCAGTTGACCTGGGTTCGATTCCCGGCCAATGCAGCTCCTCTCTACCCTGTAAGTCGCTTTGGATAAAAGCGTCTGCCAAACGCATGAATATATGAATATATATGAATATGGCTCACCCTCCTCTTCCTCCTCCCAGCCCAGGCTCTCCGTGTGCGCGCTCTGCTCCGCCCTCTGCTTCAGCGCCACTCGCCTCGCCTCCTCCTGCAAACCAGGGACACTGAGCCTCACTTCTATGAGCAGAAGTAACTCTGACGTTTGGGAAATAACCACAAATCCATTTTGTAATTATCAATTAAAAACAGTTGGTTAATAACATGCGGACTGAATGCGTAACACAAAATGGGACCATTAGGATTATAATGGTTATTCTGGATACCAACATGTGTTTGAATACGTATATATGGACACATCATATTCACAAAACACCACTTTAGTTTATCAATTCATCGTTTAACTCATTGGCTGCCAAAGACGTCTATAGACGTCTTTTATGTTTTTCAACGAGAGTGGCTGGGGGACGATCTGCTAAAGCTTGTCCGTAAATATCAGGCTTCTAGACAGAGTATGTAGTAACAAATGGACCCTCTAGGTGGCAGTGCCACTTTTGATGGGAGATGAGCATAGACTGTAGGCAAATAAGAAAAAGGTAACGGTTCGCTATGAGAGAACATGTCGCCGGTGAGACGCAAGTCCAGGAAGAACGGAATAAGGTAGAAACAAAAAAATGTTCCTGATGAAAGAAGAGAGTCTACTCTTTCTTTCGGTGTGTTCGGTGTTTACATAGTCATAGCACAAACTATTCTGTGGCTCTTGAAAAGTCAGTCAAAATGCTGAAAAAACTCTGGCAGTATGGGACTCTCTGTTCTGAAAATGGCTGGCAGTCAATGAGTTAAAAACGTGCAGACTGAATGCATAACAGAAAAAGGGACCATTAGGATTATAAATGTTATTCTGGATACCAACGTGTTTGAATACATACATATCCAAACATCAAATTAACAAAACACCACTTTAGTTTATCAATCCACCGTTTTAAAGTGCAGCTGCTTTATAATGTGAACAGTTTAAATAACCACAAGCAAAGTTTTTAAACGAGCAATGTCATCAAACTTCACATTTCAGATATATGATGGAGAACAAACGTCATTAGGTCAGAGCTGAAGCTACATTTTTGACTGTGCAAGCCCCGTTGCTGACCAGCAGGGGGCACCAAACACAAAGTCCTGAACTGGCCTCATAACTTCTGAGTAAACTGGTTTGTGTACCTGTTCCAGCTGGAAGACTTTGTAGAAATATCTCTGCCAGAACTCAGAATGAGCTACAGCAGCTGGCACCTGGGAACAAGAAGAACAGAACCTCTTTATCTGACAGATTTTGTTTTCCATGTCTGAGTTCCTGAGGAATGAGCGTAAAAAAAACAAAAAACAAAAAACAGAACGATACCATTTTGGTGTAGAGGGATCTGATTGAGGGACTGTTGACCAGGAGCTCAGAGATTTCTCCTTTCTTTTCTTCCAGACTGAAACTGGACAGCCAGTTGTCAAACTGCTCTGGTGGACCTAAAAAACATAAAAAAATGTTTATTTAGAAGTTGCTCATCTCCTGTTAATGTTGTTTTGAAAGGAGTCGCTTTATTATTTTTGTTTGGATGCATTTAGGGGGGAAGAAAATCTTATCAAATATAATGTTGACAGAATAAAAACACAAATTGAAACAGAGGAACATGGGAAAGGACATTAACATAGGCGATTCCACCTTAAAAAACTGTGTCTGCTCTTTTTAAATCTGCTCCCCGGGGCTGTGACTCACCATCGGGCTCGTTGCAGTAGGTCGCCGGGTCCGCCTGCAGACTGTAGAGACGCGCCTGCAGGAGAAAACAAAAAACACGTTTCACCTCCACATCCTCACCACACGCCCACTTTCTCCCTTAAATCTATTCAGAGGTGGGTTCATTCCACAGAGATCTGAAGTTCAAACTAGACCCATACGGAGCCCTCGGCTCCTCAGGGGATCCCAAAAGCATTTCAGCTGGAGCCACACTGGGAGAGTTTTCCCATCTTTCACAGCTTTCTGTTTCATTGAACGAGACATGTGCAAATTCTGGCAGGGAATTTAGCTAAAAATAACCGGTGAAAAATACAAAACTCAGCCACAAGATTAGAGCCAAGTCAGTTTAAGAAGTACACTGACTGTTCAGAAACTGACTAACAGTCCTGTGCTTGAGTCCTTCTGAGTGAGGTTCAGTATTTATATCAGTCAAACCAACTCATGGAGGTGAGGTAAAGCACTAAGCTAGTCCTGATCCGATATCTGGATCGGATCGCCCGCCGATATTCCCAAAAAATGTGTATGCAAATCCAGACTCCAGATCTAGTTTCTTTTTATAAGTCCGATCCCACACGAGCATTAGCATTAGCATCTCCTAACCCACAGGTCTGTGTCCTAACCATTAAGTTGTTATCAGAGTAAATCCCTGTTCAACAAGAGTCTGACAACTAAGTCAGTAGATAAATAACTTTAAACTTTAACACATGCTCTGATAGGCCGGGATCGGTATCGGATCGGAAGTGAAAAAAGCTGGATTGAGACATCCTCAAAAAGCCCCATTACACGGCTTCTTTTTGTCATGGTAGCAACAACAGTGAAGCAATGCATGTTTGTCCAATAATCCTATAACTCGGTTCCCACCTTTGAGCTGTCGTAGACCTCTGTGGTTCCTGCGGGTGTCGCCACCAAAGTGATGACATCACAATCAATGGTTTTATCAGGAGGTGGAGCGAGCGTGTCCGTTATCACCCCTAAGAAACTAGACAGGCCCTTCTTCACCTTTTCCGTTGTGTCCGAAGACCCTTCCACCTGGAAAGCAGCAAAAAGATCCCTCTGGGATTATTAAAGTATTTCTGATTCTGATTTCTGATTCTGAAGTGAACCAAAAGAGTCAGATTTCGACCGTTTGATTACGGCTGACTGACACTTACAGCGAGTTTGTTTCTGACGGCGGTTGCCGTGGCAACGATGGAGCAGGCCGTGTCATGCTGGACCACGGTGGAGAACTCTGTCAGGTCTCGCTTTATGAATTCTAAGGCCTCAGATGACTGCATGGAGAAAATCAGAAGAACAAGATCAAAATCCAGATATAGACGTATTATCTAAATAAGGGATATCGTAACACTTATTTTCTGCTCAATGGTACCATAAATAACTAATATAAGATAAGACATGGGAGACGTTCAAATCTCAAAAAGGGAGAATGCTGCTGGTAAACATCTATGAGTGGATTCCCCGTCAGGAAATGTGTCATTAATTGAAGGCCAACAATCGTGTTTACAGGAGAAATTTCAGGGCTGGTTCTGACAAACAGAGACTCAAAGTCAGACTACAGAGATATCAAAGCATATCACACTGACTAAAGTGCACCAGAGACTGTGATGTGGATGTTAAACTTAAACAACATAGAGATGTGTACACTCATAACATTACGTGAGTAAAATGCTGCCAAACAGGCTCTGGTGTTTGACGTTTGGCTTTCAGAATTGTGGACGTCTCAAGTTGTTCAAACACAGCATACGTGAGATGTGCATTTCCCTGTTGCACCTATCTTTCCTGACATCTCCAGCTCAGATTACAGCTCAGAATTGTATGTATGTAAGACAGTTTTCTTCTCCATCTGACTGTAATCTTGCTTAGCAGCTGCCTAAATTATGCTGAGCAGACAGTCTGATGCAGACAGTTAAATAGACTCTGATAAAGTATCAGCTCTCAAACACACTGAACTCGTTGGCAGATACTTAACAGAGCATAAAGATTGCTTGTTTGGGTGGATTACCTTGTCTTTGACGGCCTGGAAACTCTGCTGAAGCCAGCCTCCCCACCAGCCTTCTCTGTGACCAGCAGATAATAAAGAGTTATCCGGGTTTCACAGCCAAAACAGCACAAGCATTGTGAATGCACGAGAAACACTGTGAATGCACGTTTATTTATTATCTTGGACTCTCAGCTTGACTTTTTCTAGGTTTGTTTGGTAGCCATGAAAACGAGCGTAATGACGAGTTAGCTAACGAACTGGCGAAGAAATGCAGGGCACTTTATTTAAAAAAACACCCCTAACTATATTTTTAAGGTTAAAACATGCTGCTAGAAATACATATGAATGTATATCACGTAATAGCTCTTACTGTCGCGTTTAAATGTCCATATGCTAAAGCTAAACAGTCCATGCTAACGCTAGCATTGCTATGTTTTTGTAAACAAATACACTTCCTGAACTGATTTCGTAACTAAAATAACTCTGCAGTCCCAACAAAGCCGGCACAGAAACTGTCATTAGACACACAACACAACGACGAACAGAAAATCAACAGGAAACAACCGCTTCTTCCATTAATAAACTGAAAAATAACATTTATTTAGCGGCTTCAGTCTCACCCTTCAGCCATCTTCAGACGATGACATCATCAGTATTTACTGAACTCTGACCCCGCTGCGTGGCTTTGAAAAAAAACACGTGACACAGCCTGAAATCCTCCGAATTAAATTAAATAAAAACAAATAAATCAGCTGTGCACCCACGAAACCACTTACGCAGTTTTCTTTCAGAAAACTAACAGAAATGTGTTTCTTGCAATGTCTACGGTGGCTGGAAAGACCCAAACATATCTGCAACGCTAAAAAGGGCTTCGGGATGGATGGGGACGGTGTCACGTGACTGGATGAAGAAATCTGAGCCCGAAAAGTGTATAGCCCTCAGAAAAATGTACCAAAAACTTCGTTTTATGTTTATGTTTGAAACATCTATCATAGTATGTGTTTAATTTTTGTTTTCGT